GCCAGCCCCATTAGACCAGAACAGACCCAGCAAACCAGCGGGGAGAGTTGCAGGTGGTACACGCCGTGGCCCTGCTTTATCAGGTGCAGGAGCCCTCAGGCCACCCCGACCACACACACGCGCACACACAAGCACACAAACAGCACCATGGAAAGAGCTGTCGAGCCACAGGGAGGAGGAGAGCTGCCTTGGACGGGGAGAGGACCTGAGACCATGCACGGGCGGAAGGAAGCCTGGGGTGCTACTGTGCAAGGGTGCAGACACGGGACGCATGCAAGGCGGTTTCTCCCACTGCGACCTCCTGGGGTGTGCCAGAAGTTAAGGGGTGACAGTGTCAGAGCTCCTGTTCCAGACCTGGGCTGGGAACAGGCGTCTGCAGGCTCTGTGCCTCAGCCCGGCACCTGTGACCCCGCTCAACGCCGGGTTCCACCGTATGAGCCTGCCGCTGACCCGCGATACCGCCCAGTGCTGTTCAGGCTCCTTCCGGGCTTACTGTGCACACCCGGTCTGTCCAGGGTTACCTCTAGAGCCCCATCTCGCTCCCCCGTGGAAGGGCTGTGGCTGAAGTCAGAGTGGAAGCTCCGGCAGGCTGTGCTGCTCTGGCCCCGCACCGGCCTCTGGGAACCACTGTTTGTGCCCTGAGGAACACTGCCACGGTTCCCAGCTCGCGCACGAACAGCAGTCCCTAAGGCTGGGACAGAGAGGTGTGGATGGTTCTCCCCCCAAACAGCCGCAGACAAAGCTACTGGACTCAGACTGTTCTTATTTGGCATATTTATGCAATCAAATACAATATCTGAAAGTAACAGTTAATTGCCAGCCGGGCGTGGTAGCACATGCTTATAATCCTAGCACACAGGAGGCTGAGGTGGGAGCTTCGGCATGAGTTTGAGGCCAGCCTAGGCTATGTAGTGAGTTCAAGTCCATTCTGGACTATACATCAAGATCCCGTCTCAAAAAACAGACAAAAACACTCACACTCACACACACACACACACACACACACACACACACAAACAACAAAACCCCAGAATGAAAACAACCCACTAATATCTATTTTGTGAGTTCTATTAAGCAAAAATGTCCCTGGGGCTACATCTGTGGAATCTGGTTATGCACCAGTTGCTTTTTCCAGGTAGTTTTGCCATCAAACATGTACTTAATCCACTTGCTCTATGGGAAGAAATACTTCGTATTACATTTTGGGCTGGCATCATGTTAATTCATTTAATTTTCTAAGCGAAGGACACAGTGGCAAAATAATGAACTTGATGTAAAAACACACTGTGTGGGTCAGCCCATTCCTGGGTCCCGCCCGGCTCTCTGGATTCCTCAGCCCCGTGGCATCACCATCCTCTCTCATCTCTCTAGGCATGGGGAAGGCGGAGCTCAGCTACTTTCCTCCATGCACGGATTCAGCATGACCTCAGCCGTAGGCTTGGATGCACTCAGAGTGGCCAAGCACCTGATGGCCCAAGCAAGCCAGGACCTCTCCTCCTCCAGCTCTGGACTGGGGCTCAGGCATCTCCGACCTGGGCAGCTGCAAGTGACCAGCGTACCATTAGTCAGACTGCGATTGTGGCTGCCGGTGAACAGAGTCTGTGAGTTCATGAAGGTCTCTCCATCTGAAAGGCATAGGCACTTGCACACTTAACCCCTATGCTGTGCGTTAGCTCTGAAATGCCCTTGAAGATGCGTGTGTTCAGAGGTGTGGCTCTTGGAAGGGGACTGGATTGCGGGGTGCTACACGCAGCAGTGGATTCATCCATTGACGGCTCACAGCTGGATGTGCGGTTAGGTGCCGGGCCTCCTTGGAATAGATGCATCGCTAGGGGGAGCCTTGGGAGTACACAGCTCCCTCTCCAGCCCTCCCCTCCCTTCTCTACTTCCTGGATACCATGAGGCGAGCAGCTCTGCTCCTCCACACCCTTCTGCCTGATGCTCCTATCTAGGAGCCTGCTGACCATGGACTGAACCTCTGAAGCCACGAACCAAGTTAAACCTCTCCTCCCGTCAGCTGTGGGTGTCAAGTGCTGTGTTCCAGCAAGAGGAAAGTCAACCAACACATTACTCTTCACTGCCGGGCAGAGGGGGCTGCACATCATGCTCTAGGACAGTTCCTGTTTCCATGGTCCAGCAAGCACATGTGGGACCTCCCTGCATTTATGGCTCCATCTCAGGTGCACAACTCTTACTTGCTGTACCTGAGTGAGCAGATGTGCACTTTGTAGAGCTTTTGCCTGTCTTTTTCCTCTGCACTCTAGGTAGCCCACATGGATGGCTAGGAGGAGAGCGGCGGAGACAAATGTCAGCATACAGGCCAGGCCCCGTTGCTCATAAGCAACGTGATTAACCTCTTTGTGCCTTAGTTTCCCCAACTGCAAAAGGGGCACAACATTAGCAAACACCTTATAGCAGTGCAAGAATCCAATAAGTTGCTGAAGCTGCCTGCAGCGTGAGGCAGCATAACTGCTCTGTGCTGCCGGTGGTGTTCTTTGCAGGCCACGGTCACCCACGCGTTTGCACAGTCACTTTTCTTCTGTATGTGTGTTCTAGATGTTAGAATTGGTGTGAGTTTGTAGGCCTCAAATTACACGGCAGTGAGTTTGTGGAAACAGAACTGTCCTGAGGCACGTGGTAGCCGTGAAATGCTACATGCGAATCCCTGGAGCTGCAAAGGAGAATTACCCACGAGAGAACTTCCTCTCCCACGTGCAGTCTCCCCATGCCACCGCACATATATTCTACCAGGAAACACTGGCTGCGGCTCACAGCACGGGCAATTTTCTCAATATCATTGTTCCAAAGAAGCAAGGGGAGCACCGTGGAACTTGTGCCAAATGTGTAGAACAACTTCCCCGCACCACAAGGGTGCAAGATAGGAGCTGTAATTAATTTAAGTGCCTGGCAGTTGAATTAGCCACGCTGGAGTATTTGGTAAGTAAAGCTATTTCAGGTGAAGATAAAATGCCTTTAAATATAAAGAGGGTAAAGTAGATTTAAAACTTTAAAGGGAGGAAATCCCAAGCCTACAGTAAATCAGCCATTCAATTAATTTAGAGGAAAATGGATTACTCACCCTAGGATCCAACTGAATAAACCTTAATCATATAAGCACATCTAGTACTTAGGGCTGCCATTAAATTTTCCTTCCACATCTTTCTCTCTCTCCTTGTACATTCTGAAGGGTTAACGTGTGCCGTCAAATCATATAAGCAGCTCTAGTACTTAGGGCTGCCATTAAATTTTCCTTCCACATCTTTCTCTCTCTCCTTGTACATTCTGAAGGGTTAACGTGTGCCGTCTTCTGAGAACATGCCATCCCACAAACTCACAAACGCACTCCCGCCCAGCGCCTGAAGAGTCACGGAGTTTGAACAGTGCCTGGGAGATCCCTGGGTCTGCGTGGGGACGAGGACTGTTCTCAGGGAGCCAAGTTTTTCATCATCATGGCTGAAGTCACAAATGATGCAAACCCATCTTTCCAAATTACAGAGTGTTTTGTAAAAGCCCACAAGAGAAAAAGACATGTTTGTAATTTAGGGGTCCAAGTACATGAGGTTTCGCTATTAAGGCCACGGTGGGTGGGGAGATTGGATCAGCAAGCGTAGACACCGTGCCTGATGGGTCAGTAATTCACTTCCTCTGTGCTAGACTTGGGGACTTCCAAATGGGAGCGTTCTGCCTGGAAAGTCATTAACTTCGGTCCTCAAATACAGCTGGATTGAGAAGAATGCACCCAATTACAATCTACAGTGAAATGAGGTTTATGGGATTTTAATCAACTTTTAGTTCCAAAATCAATTTGTTGAATGATTTTTCTCTTAGATTCCATTTTGGCCCTTGGGGGAAAAATATAACTTGTGAAATTCAGTCCGCCGCTTCCAAGAATACTTTCACTCATTAGTGACGTGGGATCCGAAGACATGGTTAGGGGAACAATCCCTCCCATGCTGGCAGCGTTAAGGGGGCGCCGCCATTCCAAGGGCACCTAGCCTGGCCCATGTGCCCTTGTCTCTGTTGCTTCCTGAATTGTTTAGCTTTTTAATTAATTTCCTAACCGGATGATGATGAAAGGTAAATGTTCATGCATTTTCTTTTGAAGAAAGAGAGGTTAATGTGCACATAACCATGCAGCATGGGTCAGGATCCTATTTCTGGTCCTAGCAACCGACCCCCCGGAAGTTACTCAACTCTGCAGCAAAGTGTCTTCCCCGGCCATGGCATCCGACTATCACAAGTTCTCTTAGCACAAAGACGCCTCATGTCGCTGCTTCTCCACATACAGCAGGGCACCATGGTATGCTGATTTTGCAAAGACGCCTTAAATACATATTTTTTTAAATGCCCACAAGCTCTGTGCTCAAGAGGAACTGAGCAAAACAGTGTGGCTAACCCGCAGGCAGACTCCTGGCGGCACTAGAGGAGACCCAGGCTGGAAGTTCCCTCCTCTGCAAAGCTAACGCTTGTTCAGGCTCAGCAGGCTCAGGCCGTAGCCGCCAGTGCTGGGGAAAGCGCATCAGGGCCCCTGTCTCCTGCGCGCGCACAGCCGAAGAGACCCAGGGTCACAGGCGCCCCACAGGAGACCCAACCTCCACACTGTGAGGAGGTGCACGAAACGCAGCCTTCGCTCTAGCACGCGAGGTACCAGCGCGAGCTCAGTTCTCGCGCGGTCTCCTACCCGGACCCCGTCCTACGCAGTCACAGGTGGAGGGACCCAGGGCTGCTGCCTGCTCACCTGCAGGGGCTGCCGATCCCCTCTGAGGTCGTTACCTGATCCAAGCGCCAGCGCGTGCAACTAGAGACGTGTGCGTGTGGGTCAGACCAAGTACCCTGCGTGCAAACGGTACTGTCCACACGTGCGTGCATGAGAAACACGATTACATGCATCGTGTATGCCGCTGTGTACTTCCGCACAGGCCATGCACACTGCACACCCCGCACGCGCACACCTTCTGTGTACCCTAGGCCCGCCCACTCACGCGCCCAGGCCTGCTCACCTCCGTCCTCACGGATCCTGCGCCCCGCCGCTGACCTGCGCAGCACAGGGCGGCCGGAGCTGAAGATGCTGCTGAGCTCGTCCAGGGGGCTGC